AAGGTTTTCTTTTGTTTTGCTTTTTTTTTTTTATTCCTCACCTAGGATTTTCAGAGTAGGAGAGAGGAAGAGGTGGTAGGGGAGAAACATCGATGTGAGAAAGACACATCAATTGGTTGTCTTCAGCATGACTCCAACCAGGGCCACATCCAGGGATTGAACTGCAACTGAGGTACATGCCCTTGACTGGAATCGAACCCACAACTCTTTGATCCTTGGGTCAACACTCTAACCACTGAGCCAAATCAGCCAGGGTTGCTTTTCTGTTTTTCAAGTGTAAGTGCTTCTCAAGAATCCCTGACTTGACTGAATTCTGACAAGTTGCAGTGTCAGGAGGTAGGTAGAAGGATCTCCCATGAATACCCCAGCAGCTCTCCCCTTTTCCCTTCCCTCCTTCTCTGCCAAATTTAGAGAGAAGATCATATGGATTTTCTCCTTTATGAATTAATATGGTGATTGGGTATTTCAAACATTAAACCAACCTGGCACCTGTTTGTCAAACCTCATTGGGTCACAACGTATTATTCTTTTATATATTGCTGGATTTATATTCTAATACATAGTTGAATTTTGCATGTATGATCATGAGAAATTTTTTAATTGTCTTTTTGTAATGATTTTTCTAATTTTAGTATCAATATAATTCTGACCTTATAAAATGAGTTGGAAAATGTTCCCTCCACTTGTTTTCTGAAAGAGTTGTATAGTATAGGATTGGTGTTTCTTCATTACATGTTTAACAGATTAACCAGAAAAGCCATCAGGGCCTGGAGATTTTATATAGTGGGAAGTTTTCAATTAAAGTTTTAAATAGGTATAAATCATTGCAGATTTTTTATTTTTCACTTTTTTTTTAGTTCTAGAAATATGTATTTTTACAGAAGTTACCCATTTTGTCTAAATTGTCAAATTTGTTGACAAATTTTTTGGTAATACTTCCTTATTGTCCATTTAGTGTCTGTATGATGTGTAGTGATGCCCCATTTTTATTCATTATAATCGTCCTTTGTGTCTTCTCTTCTTTATTTTTCCTTAGTCTATCTTATCCATGTTGTCAGTATTTTCAAAAAGCCAGTTTTTAGCTTTCTTGGTTTTATCTATAGGTTGCCTGTTTCCATGTAATTGATTTCCACTCTTATTTTTATTATTTCTTTTTATTAAAATTTGCTCTTTTTCCAACTTCCTAAGGTAGAAGTCTAGTCCACCAACATTGTGCCTTGGTTCTTTTTTTTTTTTTTTTTTTTCTTTTTCTGTTATTGATTTTAGAGGGAAAGGAAGTGAGAGGGAGAGAGAGAGAGAAACATTGATGAGAGATGACATCAATTGGCCGCCTCCTGCATGCCCCACATTGGGGATCAGGCCCACAACCTGGGTATATGTCTTCACCGGGAATCGAACCAGCAACCTCTTGGTGCATGGGTCAACACTCAACCACTGAGTCACACCAGCTAGACTTTTGGTTCTTTTCTAATACCAGTATTTAAAGCTATGAATTTCCCTTCTCTTTCTCCATCTCCTCTTCCTCCTCCCTTCCACTCCCCCTTCCCTTCACCTCCTCCTCTCCAGTTTACTGCTCCACAAATTTTCAGCAGCCTCACACTTCATGAACCTCAATCTATGTTCTCTTAACAATGCAGTGCCGCCAGGCTCAGCTTGGGTTCCCCTTTTCTGCTTATTTCAGAAAATGTCTACAGGCAGAAATTTATGGCAATTGTAGAGGTCATCTCATTGGTTTCCTTTCTCTTTAGAAATCACAGTCCAGCGCAGCCTATTATCCAATGCTGCTATCCAGCAGTTGTTTCATGTATTTTGTCTAGTTGTTTGTAGCAGGAAGGCAAGCCCACCCAGTTCCAGTTACTCTATTTTGGCTATAAGTAAAAGTCTTGTTTTATTTTTTCACCCTATATTTTGCCTCCCCATTCTCCTTATCCAAACAGACATTAACTCTACACCATGTAGAACTGGTCTTAGACCATACAGATCGGTCTGTTTGTAGTTGTGTGTGTGTGTGTGTGTTTAATTATTGCATTGAGAGAGAGAAACATCAATTTGTTGTTCCACTCATTTATGCATTCATTGGTTGATTCTTTTATGTGCCCTGACTGAGGATCAAACCCACAACTTTGGTGTAGCAGGACAACACTCTAATCAACTGGGCTACCCACCAGAGCTGTTTGTAGTTTTAATAAATAGTATCATATTATGAACCTTAGCCATTTCTAGTTTGTCCAATCAACGTTGTTGTTTTTTTAAGAATTAAATTTATCAGGGGATATAGTATATGAAGACAAGAGTTTTGTTTTGTTTTTTAATTTTCACTTGAGGATATTTTTCTATTTATCTTCAGATAGAGTGGGAGGGAGAGAAAGGGAGAAACATTTATGTGAGAGGGACACATCAACTGGTTGCCTCCTGCATGACCCTGACCAAGGCCAGGGACTAACCGCAACCGAGGTACGTGCCCTTGGTGGGAATTGAACCTGTGACTCATTGGTCTGCAGGCTGACGTTCTACCGCAGAGCCAAACCAGCCAGGGCCAATCAACATTGTTTTTAAAGGTCTGTCCATAGTGCTGTAGTATATCCAGTTTGTGGTTCTAACTGTTGCATAGTTGTTTCACCAGCATACAATGTTTATCTCCTTATTTATTGTTTTTTTTTGTTTTATGATATTGTATTAATTTTTTTCATAAACGTTTCATGCACTTCTTGTTAGATTAATTCCTAGATAATTCAGTTTGTTGCTAATGTAAATAATATTTTATTTTCTGGTTGATTTTCCTGTTATCTGGGTCTCTGCATCTGATCCTAATTGAAAGGTAATCCAGAAATTTCAAGAAAAATCTGCAACCTCAGATACTGGATGAGCTAGAGGGCCAGGACGATTGTTTTTCAACTCTTCAGTATTTCTCAATACATAGTCACAGAGTTTAGAAACACAATTGTGGCCGGGAATGACCCAAGGTAAGCAGAAGCTAGCTCCAGAGTCACTGGGCTGGCCTGCACTGGGCTGGACTGTTACATGTTTAGAGCTACTATCAGGGCATCATATCAAGGAAACATAAAAATGTGGATCTGGGTTGGAGAGAAGATGAAGCTACAGCAATTCCAACCCCGTTTCTTTCTGAGCCTCCACCCAGCCCTTTGTGGAAAAAGGGCTGGACCACTGGGCCCAGGCTGAAAAAAATGTCAGTTTGGCTGGAACAAATAGTCTTGCTAGTTGTCCCAAAGCTAACGGTGTGGTTCCTCAGCAGAATGATGGTTTGTTCGTTTCGTCCTGTTTAGGAAGGTAGTGAAGACTTCAGAAAGCTATTTGAGTCTCACTAGGAAAAGGGACCCAAGAATGGCTCACAATGACAAGTAACAAAGGCACTTCTCCAGCTCAACCAGCATTTCTGAATGATGTAAGCAGAAGAAAATCATGGTACCAACTGGTCAGACATCCTGCCAGCTAGAAAACATTTACCAAACACCTAACATCTGTCCACACTGTGCCAGGTTCTAGTAATACAGAGACGGACCAGATATACTTCTTGTTCTGAAGTAACTTAGATATAAACAAATTAGTTTAGTAAAGTATTCTAGTAATAGTAGATTTGGGGTAGAGCATGACATAAAGAAAAGCTGAACTAGGGCTATAGAGTCCAGAAAGTTTCTTTGAAAGATGATTACATGTGAGTTCATATAAACACTGGGTAGGTGTTCCCCACACAGGAAAGAGCCTTCCAGACCAAAGTGCAGGAGCTAAAGGAGTCATGAGTTTCTTGCTGGGCTCAGCAAACTGCAGACACTTTCCCATAACTGGCATGTTCCACATTGTTACCCCCATACCTAAACACATCCTGGAACACAGTTTCATTAATGAATGAGTGTGTGAAGGAAGGGAAAAAAAAGCACAGTCTTTGGAGCCAGTGTTTAGGTGCTCACTTTTAAAACCAGTGGTGGCTTCTTTCTTTATGCTAGGCTTATTTTGGGTTCTTTTAAGATAAACTATATATTTATAAGGTACCTAGAGTAGTCAAATTCATAAAAGAAAAAGTAAAATGATGGTTGCCAGAAGCTGGGAGTAGGGGAAATGGGGAATTGTTGTTTAATGGGTATGAAAAAGGTCTGGAGATTGGTCTCACACAATGTGAATACACTTAACACTATTGAACTGTGTAAAGAATGCTAATTTTTAATGTATATTTACCACAATTAGAAAATCTAAAAATAAACTATAAAGTCCCCCAGTTACTTAAATTAGGAGAGGGTTATTGTGTCTATATTATCACATTGATGATCTGGGCCAGAATGTCTTCTCAGATATGAGACACCTGCTGTTTTGTAAGATAGACATAGAGGGTTGGATTCTGGGCATCTGCTTTAAAGAGAGAGAGGTTTCTTTCATATTTTTTTCTCATTTGTAATTTTAATCAAAGCACTGCTAATTCATTCTTTTTTAACTCTTATAAGCGCCAAATTTTAATATCTAATTTAACTTTTTGAGAAAGAAACACCATAGAGACTTCCCTCCAGAAATAAACAATGATGTTCATTACTCCCAACAATCAAACTCAAAGTCTAACAAAACAAAACAAGAAAAGCCCACATATTTTTTTTAAGTAACAAAATCAGGTTCTAAGGATTCAGTGTGCATTTAGCAGCTTTCTCCGGGCTGTCTCATCATCTTCAGCTGGCTTTTAAAAAAATAGCATCCTAGCCCTGGCCAGTTTGGCTCAGCGGTTAGAGCGTTGGCCTGCGGTCCGGAGAGACCCGGGTTCGGTTCCCGCTAAGGGCACGTACTTCGGTTGCAGTTTGTCCCCGGCCCTGGTTGGTCGTGTGGGTGGCAGCCACTCGATGTGTCCCTTCACATCGATGTTTCTCTCTCTCTCTCCCTCCCACTCTATTTGTACAAAAAATGGAAAAATATCCTCGGGTGAGGATAAAAAAAAAAAAAAAAAAACTCATCTTCAGCTGGCTTTTAAAAAAATAGCATCCTAGCTCATCAAAATACACATTTTCCATTTGCTTTTCTGATACAAAATAGTTAGAAAAAGAAAACTTGAAGAAATTCACCATCAATTGCCTGACTCCATTTGATGTCATGTGCAGCATATGAAGGTCTGGAAGGCTATCTGCAGCCTATAGGATAAGGGCATATTAATCTTCAAGGTTGAGCTTTCTTCCAAACAGTGTAAAACACCCACAACTCCAAGTATGATGGGATGCAGACGACCTCCTTCGAGAATTCCACAGAGCAACAGAGGCTCCCGAGCTGCTGTTCATAGAGTGAGAGGGCCTCCGTCAAATTGACACAGTTCCCCTGTGTAAAATATTTCCCATCCTGCTTCAGTACTCTCATCGAGAGGTCAAGAATCAGCCTGAGAAACTCCCATGTGGAATCTTCTTCCGGAGATGTGGAGATTGGGACCGCCGTCAAATCATTAATCACGTAATCGAAGTGCCTGCCTTCTTCGGCGAACCTCTTCAGTACTGGAACGCAGTCTTCTATGAGAACCCGGTAGCAGTCTCCCGTGAGACGGTCTAAGACGTCGCCACACGTTTCCCGCATGTGTTTCTTACACGCATCAATCACCATCTGGTCAATCTCTACCATCGTGGCCATCCTCGGTTTCAGTTTGACGATTTCGCGTAAGACGCCGCCGTCTCCGCCTCCCAGGATCAGGACGTCCTTGCCAGTGTAATCCTCTTTGCCACTGCCCGTGATGGCTCGGGTGTAGGCCCCATCGCTCTCCGCCAGGTTAACGTCCCCACTCAGGATGAGGATATTTCCGTACTGCCTCGAGTGTAGAATTTTAATGTTCTGATAAGGTGAATCTTCATCATATACCACTTCATCCATGTCGTACTCGACCAGGCGGCCATCGGCGGTGGGCCAGTATCTGTCGATGGCCCCTCCTCGAATTATGGGTGGCAACCGCTTGACCCGTCCAGGGCTGTCCCGACTCAGTTCTTTCATTCTTTCTTCGACTTTGTTCAAAAGACTGTCAACGTCTTCGGCTTGCGCCTCGCCTTCGTAACTCTGAAGGTCCAGCAACACCAATCCATGCGGGTAAATTCTCAGGCTGGCAAAGCTGCCGTTCTTGTGGATGTAGGTGGCTAGGCAGCCGTGGTCCTGCCAGGTGTGCAGCGACTCTGTCATGCCCCGCTCCCGGAAGAGGGGCCGGAGGCCCTTTAGAACGGTGTCGCCGGCGTCGCCGGCAGCCTGGGCGCCGAGCAGGAAGTCCAGCGTGCGGTGCCGCGCGGCGGCCATAGCGAGGCCCCGCCCGGAGGGAGGCGGCCGCGGGAGGCCGGGGACCTCGCCGCCGCTCAGGCGGCGGCCGGCGGGGACTCACGGAAGTGGGAGAGGTTTCGGACACCTTCCAAAATGTGTTGTAGTAAATGACTGACCAAGGTGAAGTCCAGTCATAAATTCATTACCGCCGGAGCCGGCCACTGCGCGGCGAGTCCTTGCCGACCGTATCCAGGGAGCGGTCCAGTGACCGGGCTACGTCCAGAGAAGCAGCGGCAGGTGCGTCCAGCGCTCCAAGGGGCGGGGCGTCCAGCGCTCCAAGGGGCGGGGCTTGGAACGAGGTGCTGGGAGGCGGGGGGGAGGGGGAAGGGGCGTGCCGGAGGGCGGGCAGCGGGCAGCGGGCAGCGGAGGACGCTGTTGCCTGGAGACAGCTGGGCCCTCTTGGCCGCAGAACGGCAGGTAGCCCCGCTCTCCGCCGGCGCCGGAAGGCGGTGAGAGGAAGCCGGGTCTGAGCCAGCCCGGCCTGACCCAGCCGGGCAAGGCCATGGCCGGACGGCAGAAGGAAAAGGAGGTGCCCGACGAAGTGCACCAGAACCAGATCTTGCGGGAACTGTACCTCAAAGAGCTACGAACCCAGAAGCTCTACACGCAGTATCACGTGAATCCCCTGCGCAAGGGTGAGGGGCGCCGCCGGGTGGAGGACGGGAAAGAAGGGGGCGGCCTGGGGAGGCTGAGCGGTCCGCGGTCCGGGTCCGGGTCCGGGGAGGCGAGGTTGGGCGCAGCTTCGTAGGAGAGGCTTTTCTGACTTCACCCCGGTGCCTGGGCTTCTGAATGAGGACTTGTAGCGGGGATGGGGGGCGGCGGGGAGTCTCACCCCACATCACGTCAAATATATTAGATATATGTAAATAGTCGCGTTGAAATGTTTTTGTTGCAAAAAGATTGGAAGGCTTTTTATAATTTTGCGTTTGAAATCATTATATTTGGCAGCATTTTATGTATTTGGTTTTGCCTAGTTTTTGGTTTGTTTCTAATGAGCAAAAGTTTGGGGTTTTTCAGGCTTCTAAATTGTTTTAGACTTTAGGAAAGTTCAGGGGTAATAGAGTCAGGGCCTGAGTCTGCCTCTCTTTCCATCATGCTCATCCCCAGGCCTCAACAGGGCCCTCCTCACTTCTTCATGGATTGATCTGATGGGCTCTTAACTACTCTTCTCTTCCAAGTGTCCCCCACCCTTACACTGCTGGCAAGAGCTATGCTAAAAGGTGAGTTTGATCCTACCATTCCTCTGCAAAACCCTCAGTGGCCCCACAGCTTCTGAGCTGAGGTTTGAATTGATCTGTGGACCCCTGTGGATCTGGCTCTGCTGCCCACCAGCTTCATCCTTACTGCCCTCCCCATCCACACACTTTTCCTTTGAGAAATATTTTAGTGCCTGCTCTGCATCAGCCACATGCTCCCTTTTCTCCTGCCATCTAAATAAACAGATTTCCTAACACATCCTGTCATTCCCAACCTCTTTACCTTTATAAACCATTGTCCCTTCTTCCTGAACTTCTACCCCAACTTCTAGACTAGACTAAATTAACTCTAGTTCACTGCAGCCCAGCTCTGTAGAGAAAAGTGTAATGTCATTTTTAACATAAAAATTGTATATATTTAAGGTGTATTACATGATGTTTTGATATACATAGTGAAATGATTTCAACAGTCAAGCTAAATAGCATAGCCACATAGTTACTGTGTGTGTGTGTGTGTGTGTGTGTAAATGTCTTCACTTTTCTTACAATTTAACCTGGTTTTCCATGGAGTCCCCAACCATTAATTTCAGAAAAACAAATGAATATCCAATTTTGTTTAAGTTCTGTCCATTCTAACCATTTAAATAAGCCCTCCGCAGCCTTCAGGCTTTCTAGGAAAAGTGCTGCTCTCCCAAGTCATGCCCCTTGAGAACATAATTAATATGATCCATTGCAGCACAGTGAGAAAATATTAGAACTTGTATTTGTTTACTCTTTTTTTAAATTCTCATCTGAGGAAATTTTTTTTTCTATTTATCTTCAGATAGAGTGGGAGAGAGAGAAAGAGAAACGTTGACGTGAGAGGGACACATTGACTGGTTGCCTCTCACAGGACCCCGACCAGGGACGGGGATGAACTACAATCTAGGTATGTGCCCTAGACCAGCATCTAACCTGCGACTCTTTGGTCCGCGGGTCGATGCTCTAACTGCTGAGCCAAACTGGCCAGGGCTATGTTTACTTTTATGTAGAAAAAAGAAATCATGCTTTGTTAATATGCTGATAATGGTAGGGATGCATGTTCAGAAGTTTTTACTAGGAGCTTGAGATAAAATCCCTTTGGAAACCACTGGTTCTTTCAGGCCTCTGCTCATTTCCTCCCATTGTCTACCTAGCTCACTCTTGAATCACTCTGGCCTTTTCGCAAACTCACCAGGGTCACTTTTTGATTCTTTCCATATCCTCCTCACTAGCACAATCCTTCACTTTATACAGGACTCTTCTCTAATGTATCTCCCACCCTTATCCCACCATCAACTCTCTACCCACGGAACCTGCTTTATTGTTTTGCATCTCACTTGTATTTACCTGAAATGATATATTTGTATATTGTTGGTCACCACAAATAGGAAGTTCAGGGAGTGTGGGAACCTTCTCTGTTTATAGCCCTGTCTCCAGTGCACCAGTAACCACAAGCTGAGTGGATGTCTGTGGATTCTGCACTATGTTATCATATGGCCTCCTTGGTATAGATCCCATCTGTCTATCCTTGTGTCTGTATTCCTGAACACCAATGCTTAGGAATGTTCTGCAATGTTCAGAGAATGTTCTGCAGTGATGAAAATGTATTATATCTGTGCTGCCCAAAATGGTAGCCAGTAGCCATATGTGCTACTGAGCACTTGAAATGTGCCTGAACTGACTCAGGGATTAATTTTTAATTTTATTAAGTATTCAAATTCAAGTAGCCACATGTGGTTATGGCCACCAAACTGGACAGTGACACTCAAGGGCCTTATTCCCTCACGCCCAGCACAATACCCGACATGTGATAGTCACTGAGAAAATATTAAGGTGGGTCTTAGAGAAGATGAGGAATTAGTGTTTTAATGTGAACTTGTGATGTATTTTTTTCTCTAGTTCACACAATCACCAGAAAGCCCATGTCTTGGCACGATAACCTGGAGGAACCTGCAGATGGTAGGTCCTGGTGTTGAGAACACCACTGAGACAGAACAGAGGCAGATGGCCGCCCAGTCCTCTCAGGGTAGTTTCACCATGGGGCACATAACGAGTCCTCTGCTTTGATCATCTGAAAACTGGACTCATAAGAGGGTGACATATTCCACCACTCTTTCAGTTTTTTAACTTTCAAGCCAACAAAAATGTTTCTAATGACCTTAACATTGAATTCATTTATTCATCAAATATTAGCTGTTATAAGCATAAGTTTTGGGATCATACTTAGTTCAAATCCTGGTTCTGCTGCTTAGAAACTGTGTGACTTTGGGCAAGATTTAAATAATATTATTTATTTTTAAAAGGTGGGAGGGGAGAGAGAAAACAAACAAGCAAGCAAACATAAAAACCACATCAATTTGTTGTTCTACTTATTTATGCATTCCTTGGTTGATTCTCATATGTGCCCTGACCAGGGATCGAACCCACAACCTTGGTGTATCAGGGACGATGCTCTAACTGACAGAGCTACCTGGCCAGGGCCTGGACAAGATTTTTATACCTCCCTGAGCTTATCTCTTAGCGTTGTGGTGAGGATTAAACAAAATACTTCAGGTGCTTAGAATAATATCTGGTACATGGTGATCAGTAAATGCAGGCTAATATAATTACTTTCATTATTACTAAGTGATAGTCACTATGTGATGGTACTATGTGATGGGGCTGGGGGTGGGGGGGGTCTCATACCACAGTGAGGAAGACAGACAGATTAGAGACTAGGACTGGTATGGCAACAGCCTACAAAACAGGTGCCTGAGTCAGGCAGTGGAGTTTTGGGAAGTCTTCTTAAAGGAGGTGGTGACAGGGTGACATCGAAGGACATTCTAAGTTATATGGAAAGACACAGAAATGAGAGACCATGGCCCTGGAACTGAGTAGTTTGGCAGGGCTGCATATCCAGGTGGACGTCGACCACACGTGGAAATGAGGAAGAGAAATATTTGATGGAAAGCCTAATCCCTCCTGGAAGGCTGCTCTCCTTCCCCTCTGCTTTCTTAGCGTGGAATACAATGGAGGAAGGATGTAGGACATATAGGAGGATGGGGTGGGCCATCTGCGGGAGGGGAAGTGTGAATGATCACACAGCAGAATGGAGATGGACAAGTACATGAACTAATCGGAAGAGCATAACCCAAAAAGGTACGGCTCTAAAAAAATAAAAAGATAAAAAAGGGTGGGTCTTGTCTGTAGTGAAGACACCTGCCTGGCTAGACTAAAAGATAGGAGCTGGGGACTTGTAGCAGTAAGAAAAATAACAGGTGGTGAGGTCTTGAAAGCCAGGCAGGCATTCATGACTAGCTCCCTTATGCCAAGGATGAGCTCGGCCGGATGCCCAGGCCCTTTGTTCACACTCCTTAGTCCATTCTTAGTCACCTTGCTGAGTGGATATTTGCCTCCCATTTTTCAGATGAGCAAAGTGAGGCCCAGAGAAGTCAAACCCCTTGACAAGCTAGTAGTGGAAGGTCCAGGAATGTCTCACCACAAACCCCAGGTTCTTTCTGAGTCAAACTGCCTCTCTCATATTGAGATTTGATAAGGTACAAGTTAAAAATTAAAATTCTTTAAGTCCTTAAGCTGTGGAGCTACAAAGCCAGGTCACCCTGTTACCACCTCCTGTTTCAGTGCAGAAGGATTGGACCTTACTTCTCTCAGCCTCTTTCTCACTCTTTGGGCCACAGCTCCATTGTCCAAACCCAGCCATGCCTCCGGCCTTTGTTCTCACTGCCTGCAGTGGTGTGCTTCCCCCTGCCTCCTCCTCAAGGC